CATGAGACAAATTTACTCATCGCTGAGTTCCTGCACTTTTGGCAATTATGAGTGAACTAAACTCAAATTTGGGTCGTTCTCATTCGCCGTGTATGCAAAAGGAAAAAAAGCCAGTGTCGCTACTTGATAGCAAACTACTCATAATGGGAGGAGTCTTTGTAGCTTTTATACCACTTGGTTGCACATCATTCTGCTTTAACCTGAAAAGATATAAAAGAGCACTGCTGTGTGGAATTAGCTCATTTTCGCTTCGGATGGCGTGGTGAACAGCAATGCGCCAAGCGTCATCGCAAAGTTCTTCGAGATAACCGCCATCGGTCGTCTGGCTCGCCGTGGTGGTGTTAAACGTATCTCCGATCTGATCTACGAGGTGTACTGAAGGTGTTCCTGGAAAATGAGGTCCGTGATGCTGTCACCTACACTATAAACACGCCAAGCGTAAGTGGCCATGGATGTCCTCTTCAATAAAACGGCCCTTTTCAGGGCCATCAAGCTTACATCAGTAAAGAGTTGAAATAGAATTTATCTGAGCTTGTTTGTCCAGAATCACAACCCCCAACGACTACATAAAATGCTCTCCAGAGTTGTAATCTTGTAACCAAATTTGGAATCAGGGGTGCAGTGCAAGTGATTTTGATTGATTCTCTTAATCTTAAATTTCTTTTTGAAAAATATTACTACAAATTTGGTACGCCTACAATTCAAAAACGGAAAGAGTTGAGATAATAGATAATTGATTAATTGAAAGAACGAAATGCTCTTCACATTTGTTCCGTCCACTAGCGGTCCTACGTCAAGCTTCCGTTCGTGCCCCTAGGCACAGACCCTTCTACTTTTTTTTATTTCGCACTGTAACAAAAGGAATGAAACTGCTACTGCAATATCCGGTCTTGAATTTGTCGCCAGGTATAGAAGTGCTCCCACCAAACTTTGGTATTGGATGTTGTTCGGCAAAGCTTCACTCTCCTGGTACTTCAGGTAACCTTGGTCCAAAGGAAACTTCGAGCTTTTAGCTCCTTCAAGACCGAAACGCACTGCTATTTCTCGAATAGATCCCTGTTGACTCAGAGAATAGAATCCCTGTTCGTCCTTACGAACTCTGATCCTCAGAAACTGGTTCACTGTTCCCAAACAGGAAATCTCGAATCGCTTGTGCAACTCCTGTTCCAGCCGGTCTAGCTGTTGCTTGTCTCTGCACGCCACAATCATGTCGTCTACGTAAAGTAGTAAGTAGACCCACTCTCCGCTGTTCAGCTGCTTCATAAACAAGCAGACGTCCGACTCGGACTGCCGGAATCCCATCTCCAGCAACACCTTCTTCACGGTGGAGTGCCAAACTTTCGCCGACTGTTTCAGTCCGTACAGGCTTCGGTGGAGCCTGCACACCAGTTCTTCCTTTCCAGGAACAGCGTACCCCGGAGGCTGCCGCATATACACCTCCTCTTCCAGCCGCCCGTTGAGATATGCGTTCCTTACATCAATGTGCCGCACTTCCAAGTTCTTATGTCCCGCAACTACCAAGAGAACTCGAAAAGTTGATTGCATCGCGACTGGAGCAAATACTTCTCCGAAATCTGCACCCAACCGCTGCGCGTATCCCTGTGCGACTAATCTGGCTTTAAAACGTGTTACACGTCCTGATGAGTCCCTTTTTTGCTTGTAAACCCACTTGGATCCAATCGCCTGTCGTCCTGCTGGCAACGGTACGAGCGACCAAGTGTTCATCGCCGACAGCGACTGATATTCTTCGTCCATAGCACGGACCCACTTGTCCTTGTCCGGACCTTTCACGGCTTCGGTGTAACTGACTGGCTCCGCTACTGCAACTTGAGTTACTCCAACCACGAAATCTCCGTATCTACTCGGCATCGTTCCCAGATTACTACGCTGTGACCTCCTAGGCTCATTGCGAGGCTCATTGTTGTCTCGGAACAATTCTTCGAATCCGAAGTACTCTTCGTCTGAATCCGAAAAACCCTCAAAGTCAGGCTCATTGGCGATACTGCCCGCATCACTCTTTCCACCAGAAAAATCAATTTCGATCTCCTCGGCAACCTGCCGCTCCGGTGAATCATTCCTAGTCTTCGGCGGATCTCTTTCTTGGTTCGACTCGCGGAGTTTCGACTCCTCCTGAAGCTCTGGACCAAGCTCCACAAACCTAGCATCTCTACTGATCGTTATTCTGTTAGACCTCTTGTCCAGAAAACGATGTGCCTTCGAACCACACGCATACCCGACGAAGGTTAGCTTCTCGGCTCTGCTCTGCATCTTCCCGCGCTTCGCGTCCGGAATATATACGAAAGCGTCACACCCGAATACCTTCAAGTGACTCAGGTCTGGCTTTTCGCCGTTCCACAGCTCGAACGGAGTTTTCTGTACCGAACGCGATGGCAGACGATTTTGCACGGATGCTGCCGCTGCAATCGCCTCACCCCAATAACGCTTCTCCATATTAGCGTCAAGGAGCATGCAGACAGCCATTTCCTGCAGATAGCGGTTACGGCGTTCTGCCACGCCGTTTTGCTGTGGTGCATATCCCGCCGTCAGCTGCATTTCAATGCCTTCATTCAGGTAAAAGCGCTTCAATTCCTTATTGACGAATTCACCGCCCCGGTCGGAGCGAATCACCCGAGGTTTTCTTCCGAACTTATTCTGCACCAGCCGTACAAAATCCTTGATACAGTCCTTCGCCTCCGCTTTGTCCTTCAGCAGGTAGAGCACCATGTACCTGCTGTAATCGTCAATCAGCGACATGAAGTATTTCTTACCGCCTGGAGTCACGTTTGACATAGGTCCACACAGATCCGTGTGGATAAGCTGCAACGGTTCTGTCGTCCTCCGTGCTGCTTGCTGCGGATATGGCAGTCGGGCCATCTTTCCCTCCATGCAGCACTCGCAAACGATCTTCGCTCCGCAATTGACCACTTTCATCCCCGTCACTAGCTGTTCCTTCTGCAGTCGGTCCATTACCGCAGGATCGCGATGGCCGAACCTGCGATGCCAAGTATGTTGGCAATTCACGGTGTGCTTATGAGTTACCGCCAGCGTTACACGCTCTTCCTCCTTAAGGACGTACAATCCTCCACACCCCTCACCTTGAACGACAACTTTGTTCGTATTGCTCAGGACTTCGACGGTATCTTGCTTGAAAAGCACTTTATATCCGTTATCAGTGATTTTTCTTACGGATAACAGCCCGCTGTCCAGTTCCGGTACATACAACACCTTCTCCAGCTGGATGTCGACTGATCCTTCGGCGCCATTCCAAACTTTCACAGTTCCGCAACCATGACCACCCGATCTCGTACAGACTCCGTTAGCCATTCTCACCGTCACACCAGGTGATTCCTCCAGTTCTTCGAAAAAAGCTTCCTTGTTAGCCATGTGACACGACGCACCGCTGTCAATTGTCCACGACTTTCCCGGCTTCACTGCTGCACAGATGGCTTCATTGGTTTCACTCGCCGAAAAACAAATAGCTCCATCACTCGAATCCGTCGCCTGCTTAGCCTTCGCTTGCCGCTGGTTGCCCTTCGAAGGTTTGCTTCCGGATGCTCCCTGCGTATCCGCGTTTTGAGCCTGCCACTTTCGGCAATCCCGTTTGAAATGGCCTGGTTTCTTGCAAAAGAAACACACTACGTCCTTGCTCACCTTTTGCGTTTTCAGTACCCGCTCATCAGCGTCCGACTTTCCTGCACGTTCCTGTCTCTTCCGGTACTCATCCAGCAGCTTAGTCCTGATCAGCTCCATGGTGATATCACCGTCGGGGCGAGCTTCCAAAGCCGATGCTAGAAAATGGTACGACTCTGGCATACTCCAAAGTACCATGGCGATTTTCAGTTTCTCCTCCAGCTTGAGACCAGCATCTTCCAGGCGCTCGAAGAGCGAATCCATATCCAGTAGATGTTTCTCTACGTTTCCCGATTCACTCAGCTTCGTTTCACACAGCCGGATCAATAACGATAGCTGCGACGTAATCGTAGCTTTTTTGTGATACGCTTTCAGCGCATCCCAAACCGCTTTTGCACTTGTGCAGTCCTTGATCAGGATGTATTGGCTTTGCTCAAGACACAAGCCAATCGTCGCTCTGGCCTTCCTATCCGCGCGTATCCACGCGTCCGTCAACGGATCCGGTCTGTCATCTGCCACGACATGCCACAGTTCCTCCCGTGTGAGGAACATTTCCATTTGGAAACGCCACGTCGCAAAGTTGCTGTTTCCAAGCTTACTGATGGCAAATTTTTCGGGATCTGCCATGCTCACAGCTATCGGATCGGTACAAGTATTTATGCGGTACACTGTACCTCCTCCGCAAAACGCAAACAGCAGCCGAAACAAACTTTCGATACCGACCGCCGACCACGACGCAAAAACTTCCTTTTTCACCGATATTCGTCCCGATTTCACGATTCCCGAACTGGGCCCATAACCTATGGGCATTAGGTGGACGTTCCGAAGTGGAATTAACGGTGGGGAATTCGTAAACGCGTCAAAATAAAGTATAAATATCGGACTTGAAAAAACAACGTGTTTTTATTTCGCACTGTAACAAAAGGAATGAGGTTATACTTCAAAACACCGCCTGGCTGTCATTCTCTCTACTCGCCGTGTTGCCAATTTCTCTGATAGGGGTTCAGTTACTTCAGCGTCCCTGTTGTTCATTTGCCAACACTGCAGTGTTCGGAAAAAATCAAAAACTCAAATCTCATGCGTGAGTTTATTCGCCTATGGGCCTTGCAAAATTCACCAGCGTAAAAATCACCTATGAGTTTATAGATTCAAAAATTCATTGCCTTATATTTTGAAGTTACTCACTGTTATTACTGTTATTGGCTCTTTAAGTTAGGCAATTAAACCTTTTGGAATTTTCTGAGGACATTTTCAATAATAACTTTTACCACACAAAAACCCTAAATTTAATGTATGATTAAATGTCCATTACTCTGCGGCTACTGATTGAGAGTAAACCATAACTAACACTAAAACCGTTCCCATTGCAGGAAAAAGATCCCGGTCAAGGACGTCACCTCGCTGGAGGAACGCATCCGACAGCTAACGTGCGACATCGATGATCCCATCGACGAGGGGCCCGACGGTGACCAGATGAACGATGGTGACCTCAACGAAATGGAACGACGGGACAGCCCGGCCGGAGAGGAGAATCCCCAGCAACCGAAGTACATTCCAGACAAGAGCTTCTCGCCGAGTTCGTCCGCCTCGAGTTCATCGAGTGGCTCCAATGGTTCCACCTACAAGAAAATAACCGATCTGTTCCATCGGGATCGGCGGCATGACAAAATCCCGGAGGCAGACGAGAATCCGATTGTGATCATTCCGCAGGTAAGTACTCACAGTGGGTGCGATTATTTTGTTTACGTGAACTCAATTGATTTGACTTATACTTCACAGGACTGTCGCTGTCCGGCTGGTCCTGACATTGGAATGGGGGTTCAGATCCAAGGCGCTCACACACAAATCCACCAACCACCGCAACAGCGCCAAGCTGACTCGCGAAGGCAGTTCCTTTCGACGCTAGCTCCTCTAACGGCATGCGTTGCTGGTCAACGCGATGATCTGTCGTACTACACGCTGGCTCATCCCGGCGATAGGAATTCGATGGGCAGTTCCCAGTGCACCGAGTACAGTTTAGGGGACATTGATGCCGCCTTGCACGATGACGATGGTAAGAAGGTGGCACCGGATGTTATTGCCGGAACACCTGGCCAGGAATCGGACGAATTGGCCGCTTTTGTACAGCAAGAGGGAGCTCGAACGGAACGACTGAAGAAACGGTACAGTGCGGAGACGTCCACTTCGGCACCGGCTTCTGGGGCCGGATCGGATGACGACGAGCACAATGACTACGGATTCAACTCACGGCCGACGGTACGAGGCATCAAGCCGAGATTTGGTTCTACGAATGAAATACTTCAACAGATGCAAGCTCAACTGGCAACTCCAACGCCACCTCAGGTAACCATTCAGCTTCAGACGATCACGAAGCCGTTACTCGTTAACTCATCTTTCTTTCACAGGCAAAATCTCAAACCAGTGTGGCTCCAACGCAAACCGTTCAGTCGAACACGCTTCCGCGGCCTCACACGGCCAATAGCATGCAATTGGCAGCAGCCAAGCAGCAGATCACCACTCATCAACACACCGCCTCCTGGAGTTACTACCCGGTTGAAAGTGCGCAGCCCAAAGCTGTAGCGGCCGTAGCAGCGGCTGCTACAACAGGAACCAATATGGTCACTGCCGTCGATCCACACGGCAACTACTATCACATCCCAGCTCAAGCACGCCATAGCTATCATGGTCAGGAGGCTATCTATCAGAACTGTGCTCAACTGCCAGCTGGCAACATCCAGGCCAATACGGTTCACGTTCAATCCCAGCAAATCCACACTCAACATCACGCTGTGCACACGGCTCATCACATACACCATCAAGCGAATCAAGCGGCCTACGGTAAGTTTGCGCGGAGCCCTACGCGTAGACCAGAATCTCCGCCTCCGCTGCGAAACTACCACCAAACTATGGTGCTGATCCCGTACAACGCAGAAACCTACGAACAGTACACGGCTCAAGAACAGGAGAACTACCGCCGGCAGCACAATATTGTTGAGTATCAACAGGTGAGGTCTCTGAACCTGTGATTTTAGTAGATCTCCCATTCAATCACTCATCTGTAGATTATTTTCATTTTCATCATCAGTCTGTTGTAAGCCCGCATCTAACCAACTCCGTATTTCAGGTTACCCAGCAAACCATCCGGGTACCAGTAGGCTATCCACTCCCGGGAATGCAGCTACATGTAGTTGCCGGTCGAGGTACTCTGCCGCCGCACTACTCCACTCTACCGCGGTTGGGATCAAATTCCAATGCATCTACAGCCACGACCGCTACTTCCGGCCCCAACGGTCCCAATGCTCCCAATGCCCCACAGGGTAAACCACCAGCCTACACGCAATACCCCTTGGACAAAGGTGGTGTTAAGTTCAGCGAACGAGGTGCTCCTGAAGGGGCGGCCAGCGTTCAACCAAGCGATTCCAACAACTTACTATCACCAACATCCCAGGGTCATGGGCCACCGACAGCTGCAGGAGGTCCCCCGACCTCCGCTGGAGGTTCCATGCAATCTGGCAGCACTGCCCAGAATACTGCCGCTTCCCAGGGTCAGGGAGCCGTATTCTACGCGATGAACGTCTGACACGGTGATTAGATAAATGTCACGATACGAATTGAACCACAGTCGTCCACTGAGGAGGAGGAGAATAATCGCTGGCTAGCGGCGACGACAGCGGAGGATGGAGATAGTTTTAGGATCAACGATAACCTCTGTCTAGTGGCTGCAGCAGTGCCATCATGTGGCATGGAATAATGCAATGGTGTCGGCGAAAACAACGATTACTGTCAAGGTTTGTGTCAACGGGACATTAGGGCTGCAAAGGTTCGGGCGTTCAAGGTACGCGCGCTCTGGGGAATGCTCAAAGCTCTATTGCTCGTGTAATATTTGTATTCTATAGTGCTAGGGGTATGAATAATTGGCTAGGAAACCGAAGCTGAAATACCAAAAAAAAAACCAAATACGTGGATTGTACATAGGCGTAGAATCTCAACAAAAACTCGACTGAAACAGTCGCCATCGCTTGGATGCAAAAAAAAAGCACCGTTTAACTCTCTAGTTTATCGAATTATTCGGATGAAACGTAATTGTTGAAAACGAAGCGCGTTATCTTCTACATGAAATTTATGTTAAGCTATTGAAAATCCTGTACATATGGTTTTATCTAAAATGTCGGCCTATTCCTCGGAGGAATGTTAAAAAAAATCACATGCAACATTTAGTTTCCTAGGGATGGAAATTTTCCATCGGATTTATATTTCTATATGTTTGAAGCGATCCTATGCCCTGATCGCTGGCAATTTTTCTTTTCTTTAATTTTTACAAATCTTTGAAGCAATGCAAACAATGGCATTTGTTCGAACTGACATTGAGTAACGATTGGTGAGCGTCACATGAAACTTTCTCTGAATGAACAGACTTGTGTTTGCAATGACTAAAATGTGGCAGGCAAAAGTTTTGTGGTAAGGGATGGGCCATTTCGGAAATCTTGTTGGTATCTTCGATTTACAAATTGAAAATTTTCTTTAAATTGAAGGTCTTCTTCTTATTTTTTTTTATTAAAGAGACTTTCAGCAATCGGCTGGCTTAATTAATGGAACTGCTCTGAATTTCACTGACCTTTCACATCCCTGAAAATATTGAAACTGCGTAAAGATCTTTAAGCATCACTGAAGTTATAAGGGCTTCTCTGAAGATCTCGGAACTTCGATGAAGTTTTCGGATATTCCCTGAGATTGATGGAACCTCTGCAAAGTTCCTGAAATTTCCTTGAAGTTGATTGAGCTGTCCTGAGGTCCTCCTTGATGTTATCGAAGCTACCCTGGAATTTCATAAAATTCCTGGAATCTCATAAAGTTTCTCAAAATTTGCCTGAAGCTCATGGTGCTATCCTGAATTTATTACATTGCAATTATTTTATTAGTATTTCAGCCGTAGACTGGTTCGTCTCTGAAAACTCATGAGGGGTGCCCCTATAGGTACCGGGTATAAAAATAATGGGGACTCCAGAAGGAAGCACCCTTAGCTATAGAGATAAGCAAGAGGTGGAACCCAATAACGAGTCCTTTTAGTTACAAACATATACTGTACATATACATATACTAATGTATCGATAAAAGCCTTTAACGATATTTAAACTTCCCCGAAAGTCTGAACTTTCCTAAAATTATTGGGACTGTCCTGAGCTTCTCTTAAGATCTCTAGGCCTAGCTTCCCTGAGGTTCAAGGAGCTTCTTTAAAGTTTCCACAATTTTCCTCAACCACATTGGAAGTTCTCCGAAGTTATCTTGACTTCCCCTAAGATCTCTGTGTAGAGTTGATGATTACCAGTATGATTCTTAAACTAAGTGTCTCACCCCTTGGTAATGATAAAGAGAGAGAGAGAGAAGGACACCGACAGAATAGGTGAGTGGTGCACAGGGTAGGGAGATTAGTTGTGAAAATTATTGAGATTCTCAAGAGGTGTCACGGACTGAGATAGAACCCTACACTCTGGATATCCCTGAAGCTGATAGAACGTCTTAAAAGTTCCTGAAGCTAATAAAACCACCTGGAAACTCTCAAAGCATTCCTGAAGTGCCCGTGATTTTAAAGAAGCTGTCTTATTATTCCGCAGTCTGCTCAATGAACTTCTCCAAAATCCTCGGAATTTACTTTGATTCATCTGAACTTCTTTGAAGGTTCTATAATTTTAGTGAAGTTCTCTAATATTTCCTTAAATTCCTGGAGTTTCCCTAAAATTAATAAACAGCCCTAAAGATCTCTAAACTTCTGGAAGTTGTCGGCCTTTCTATGAACCTTTCAAATTTTGTTTTAAATTTTTTAAACTTTCCTCATGTTCTCTGGACTATTTTTAATTTTTGATTTTTAATGGCTCTAACTATTTTCCTAAATATTTAGCCACTGCCGGAAAGTTAATTCTTGCAAATTATCTGAAGTTCTCGAAACTTATCAGAAGTTCCCGAAATTGCACTGATAACCATGGAACTGCCTTGAAGCTCTCAGTTACGCTAAGGAGTTGTTGCCCAAGTCGGTTCTTAAGGAACCGGCTAGGCCGCTTGGATTGTCATCATAATAAGATGCAACCACTATGGAGTGCTGTTAAAGACTAGCTGTTTTTTTATATTTCTTCTAATTTACAAAGTTGATATATTTACTTGCTTCCTTCTTCCTTTGCTTTCAAACGGGCTCGTTCTGGACTTTGGTCTGCGGCGTCAGCAAGTTATACTAGCGCGTCATTGAGCTGCATACGTCTCGTGGTTGCTTCCAGGGTTTTCAAGTGGTTGGCGTTCCTACGCCATCTCCACAGTAGCAGCAACTATCAATACGAATCTAACGATTTTAAATTGGCTCACTACTTGACTAGCCTATTGGTCCCAGGCAAATCGATTAACGTACCCCATTCTAGTCGAAATTCTAGTACTACACTATGTTTGTTTTGATTCGCTATGAACGTTTGACAGATAAAATGAGGGGTTCGTGGAATTTTTCTATGTTTCGAGGGGTGCATCGATTAGCTTGGGACCGTAGATAGTACCAGAGCTGAGTCAAAAAGTTGAGCTCGTTTCTTCGGGACCTTCTGGTCTTAGAGTTACCTCTATGGTAGCAGCGCGATGCAGAGAGCCACACCGTCAACAGAATACGACACCACGTCGTGTGTGGATATCGTTTGTTCAAAATTCTCCGTATAACCGAACGGCCACATTGTTGCGATTGATTAGTGTTGCTGGGTGGTTTCAAATTTTATTCAACTGTACCTACTGCTAATCGTGCACACTTGGCTTTTTGTTTGATTAACAGCCAAGTACTGATCGGGGTTTTGGTTCCAGCAACCTTTGTACTTCTGCGTTTTGAAGTAGCAAACTGTTGTGTTATTTTAGCTACTTTGTTGGTTTATGGGGTGTTTACACTTATACTATTTCAAAAAAGTTCACTAGCATAATGTAAACATGGCATCAGCGTCAACCAGCATGAGATTTCAGGAGCAACTGAAATTCGTGCTAGTTGGCTAGTACACTAGCGCTAGCAAATCCGCACAGATGTAAACACCCCATTAAACACTTCCACGCTACTTACCTAAAAATCAACAAACTCAACTGAAGTTTTGGTAGCTGCTGTCAAGTTGCTGAAATTTGTAGGCTTGATGAAACTTCTCAAACTCACAGGAGGTTTTCAAATACATTTACTTTGTGAGTGGTGGCAGGAATTGATCAGTTCACGAAGATTTGCCGCACTCTTCTCTCACCCGTAAGTTTTGACAGTTTTGGGTGGTTTGTTTTGGCTCCCATTCGTTGCTATCTCTTTTACTCAGAAGCAAAATGATAGGGAGCAAAAAGTGAGGTTAGGGACCGTGCACTGATCTATATGGAAGAAGTAAACAAAAACTCCCCGAAAGAGAGGAAGAGCGAATTAGAGAGAGGATGATTTGAAGTTAGGTGTACTTTTCGAGTCTACACACGCTATTTCAAAACTACCCAAATTTGGGTAGAATCCACCCAGATCGGTCAAAACTGAACCTACCCAAAAATGGGGAAACTTTGTTGGGAGTGACAAGTTGACAAATGAAAAAGTCGATCGGATACATGTCGATGTCGATGTCGATCCAAGCGAGTTCACCCAGGGTGAGAGTAAGAGGTGGTAAGAGCGTTTGAAAGAAAACATGAAAATACATGGCAGCAAACCTCACTCCCGTTTTAACCTGGGAGGGGGGGGGGCGTGATGTCCAATCAGCCTAATGATCATTCTTTATGAAATTGGTACCAAACGTTAACAAACCCTGTAGGTTTCTTAAGGCTTGTATACGTTTGGAACCAGTTATGCGTATAGTCGCTATATTCATAGTCTGGCGGATAGAATCTCGGGAACCAGTTGAGCTGTCAAATAGTGGAACCAATCGAGCAAATCACGACCAACAACAGAAAAGAGCACATCAGCTATTGCGAACAAAACTTCGGAAACCCTTTTCTCGGGACACAAGGCTTGCCTACGCAAACTAACATCATCTTTGCGTTGGGGAAAGTTTCCGATTATGCTGGTTATTTGCATTCAATTGGCGAGAAAAAAATAATCAACGTTTTTATTATAAAAGTTGATAGCAGCTTTTCAATTGTTGGTCTACAATATATTGAATTGGGTCCGCTTTTTGAAAGATCGAAATTCTCTCCGACAGACTATAAATATAGTGACTATAGTTATGCGAGGTAGGTGACGATTGTTCGTATTTAACAGCCACCTCCACCCGTTGGTTTTAACCAAGGAGGTGGCACCCCTATCTCTATTAATAACAAGTCTCCATAGCGAGCATAGGAGCGGGCTCACGCTCTGGGACCGCTTAGATTGATATGTGATCACATTTTTATGCTAGCTACGAAAAGATGGCAGCATGTCAGGCCCTTGGTTTTAACCCTCTTCGCTCACAAGCTGTGAGGTACAGTGGAATGATTTGTCAGTAGGAATTCTTCTCTTCAGAAAAATGCTACGCTCGGTTCATTTTAGACTCGCGAGTTTGGCTCCATCAAGCCTGGCAATTTGTCAGAAATTAATGGAACTGACCTGAAATTCTTTGATTTTCCTGAAAGTTTTGGAACTGCTCTGAAACTGTCGGAACGTATCCTTAAAGGACCTTTATGCTTCCTCTGGTGCTGGACGTTCTTGAAGTTCTCAAAACTACCATGTTTTTTCGGAACTTCCGCTAAAATCCGTGGAAATGCCATGAAGTTCTCAGAACGACTGCGTACTAACGATTGCGAACGATTACGAACTAACAAACAGCTTATAACTTTTATCATGAAGTTCTTGAAACTTCATTGCATTTTTTGTAACTTTCCTTACTCTTATGATACTACCAACTTATTCAAAGTTTTCTGGCCTTTGTTCTTGTAACATCCCTAATGTTCCTGTAATTTTTCCATAGTTATTCCGCCTGATGCTTTCTGAAATTTCCTAACGTTCCCTAACGTTGTTTGGGTGGTAATGGAACTGCCCTGATAAGAACTTTGAACTCACCTGAATTTTGCTTGAAGTTCACGGAACTGCCGTGAAATTCATAGATCTTCATATAAGTTTAAAAATTTTTCCTGAAGCTCTTGGAACCTCACTCATAAAGCTTTTACAACCTACCCATAAAGATCGTTGAACTTTCGCAAACTTCTGAACTTTCCTGCAGTTCTTGGAACTTACCAGAGATTTTTGAAACTTTTCTGAATGTTTAGGATGTTTTCGAAAGTTTTCAAAGTTGCTCTAAAAATCACTGAATTTTTCTGATTTTCCTGAAATTTTCCAGAAATGATTGGACCTGTCCTTAAGCTTATCGATTTTCACCGAAGTTTCAAAATTTTTCCTGGAAGTAATTTAAATGCCCTGTAGCTGTCGGAACTCACCCTAAACATTTTTTTAACCTCCTCTATTTCTGGACATTCATTAAGTTCTCAGAACTACCCTAAAGTTTTCGGAACTTCCACTAAAATCCGTGGGATTTTCATAAAATTCTCATAAGAATATCGCAATTTTTCGGAATGTTAATGGAACTAGCAAACAGTTCTTTTTTTAGTTTTTCTGAAGCACTAAAACTTTTATTCCATTTCCCGCAGTTTTCCCGACAATCATGATACAACCAATTTATAGATTTTTGGACTTCGTTCTTGTAACATCTTCCTGCAGTTTTGCCAAAGTTTATCCGCCTGAATTTTTCGGAACTTTCCCAAAGTTTCCACAAGTTTTTGGATGGTAATAGGACCGCCATGACATGAACTTTTAACTAACCTGAAGTTTTCTTGAGTAGCAGCATAGCATAGCATAGCATAGCATATGCGATTGTACAAATCGTGGGTGGCTATATAATGGTCAACTAATACGTTTTGCAGAAAATATCGAGTGTTGACGCAGAAAATATCACTTGGGATTAGTGATTTTCCCCACACGAAAATAAAATCTACAATACAAGCATCGCATTATACACCTGGCCACATCCTTACAATCGCAGGGGAAGGAAGGGAAAGTTAATCCAACATCTACTTAAGAAGGTGCAGGGAACCCATACTACCTTCATAGGTGTCACAGGAAGGAAAGAGTTGTG